TTGATAAGCAAAATTAATTGAGATTAATTGCACCCAAAATAAAAGTTCGTTTTGAGTTAAAATATGTGTGTGCTGTGTAATCATGCATATACTTAGGAAATTGTTTATTTATATTTAGACTTAAAATGCATGTGTATATGATACAAACTATATATAAATGTAAAAATCTATGTTATAAAATAGTTTTGTACAGTTTTGTTTCTATGCATGTGTGCATCATATATGCATAATAAATATATACAATACACACACACACACGTGTTATGTCAAAACATTTATTTTGGATGCAATTATTAATCCTAATTATTATTACTTATAATTAAATAATTTTAATCACACAAATATATTTGTTTTTACATATTTTAATAATTTTTTTATTTTTTATATGTATTTTTTTAATATGTATATGTAAGTACAATATCACATTTGAATATCATAAATATATATATTTATTCATATATTTTTCCTTTAAATTGATAGTTTCCTAACACAGTGGTTCTCAAACTTTTTTTCACCATGTACAACCTCAAAAAAAAAAAAGTCTCTCCAAGTACCACCATAATGTCAAGTATTGAATTACAGTAGCGTACATTAACTTGTATTTTAAATACATGAATTGTCTTTACATATTTAAATTAGGAGATAGATCTGTTTACTGCATGTTGGAGTTGGCTTTTTGTGTCAGAAAAGCAAGTGCTTGTACTATTCCTGTCAACATTGGGATATTAAAATACAGGATACGCCACAATAAGCATTATTGACAAGAGTACATAACAAATGTTAGAAAATTGAAAAAAAGGTTTAGCAAATTAAAATCAATTTACTGATCACATTGGTGTTATTGTATGCGTTAAAGGGTTAAAAGTGTGTTAATTTTTTTACTTTAACTATTCAGTGATTTCTCAGCGTACCACTAGAAGGAAGCCTGCGCACCACAGTTTGAGAACCACTGGCCTAACATATGTGGTGTACACTTTTTTTACAAATATCATTATGCAAATTAAATAAAATTTAATTTAACATTTAAAAATATCTATTTATACTTAAACTTTCAGCAAAGAAAAGATTTATTTAACATATAAATGTTTGTATTTATGTACTTACAATGGAACTAGATGTGTGTATATTCATTCATTCATTCATTTTCTTGTCGGCTTAGTTCCTTTATTGATCCGGGGTTGCCACAGCGGAATGAACCGCCAACTTATCCAGCAAGTTTTTACGCAGCGGATGCCTTTCCAGCCGCAACCCATCTCTGGGAAACATCCACACAAACACAATTCACACACACGCTCATACACTATGGACAATTTTAGCCTACCCAATTCACCTGTACCGCATGTCTTTGGACTGTGGGGGAATCCGGAGCACCCAGAGGAAACCCACGCGAAGGCAGGGAGAACATGCAAACTCCACACAGAAACTCCAACTGAGCTGAGGTTCGAACCAGCGACCTTCTTGCTGTGAGGCGACAGCACTACCTACTGCGCCACTGCCTCGCCCGTGTGTATATTCAACATATTCAACATTTTGAAATTCACTATTGATCCAAAAACATAGGCAATAAAAGATACTTGCATATTATTAAGCAAAAAATTCATTCTTACTAAAGGACATTAGTCATAAAAAACAATCAAAAATAAAAATGAAAGGTCATTGACTTTATAACAAATAAAAAAGGAGAAAGTTCACCCAGTAGATCGGCTCCATTATGTGCATTTGGCCTTGATTTAATTGATCAACACAGAGAAACTCCAGAGCAAACAAACTGGCAGAGAACAGGCAGACAGGCCTTCACTTTTAAGAGGGTGAGACAGGGGCGAGCGAAAATATAATAATGCAAAAACCAGCCACAAACAAAAGTGCATGCGTGTGTGTGTGTGTGTGTGTGTGTGTGTGTGTGTGTTTAGACAAAAAGAGTTGTTAATACTGCAGCACCTACTCACTCACTCAGTCTCTCTCTCTCAGTTCCTCTCTGCCAGCAGTGCCTTGCTGATCCCAAATAAAACCTATTAAATGTAATTATTCTGGGCTGATGGCGCTCTATAGCGGTCGGAGGCTCTGGTGAGCTGGGTGAGTCACTGGCTGGGCTGTTACTCGGCTTATAATGGGAAACATGACTCCTATCTCCCCTTCTCTCGGCTTGGCTGTTGTGATTGAAGCCACTGACCTGTCATACATTTATAATAGGGGGAGCAGGTGTGGCATTGATGGACCTTAATTTCCTTTAATAAACCTTTTATGTGGCCCACTCTTAATGCCACGCCGGCCCCTCTCCCCGGCTCCCGACGCGTAATAGCTTCATTACTTTTGATTACTGGGGGCCCCTATTGAGACAAACAACTCCCAAACACTATAGATTACATTCTGTAAAAACTAATGTACCTGATTAGTTCATTACACCGGCTCGCTCGTGTACACATCCACGCTCATGCTAATGCTAACGCTAACATACTACGCTTCCGGATTTTATCCGACATCTCTGGATAACGCAAAGTCTTTAAAAGCGATGCTTTTTGTTTGGTTCTGAGGGAGAAAAGAAGTCTTTTATTAGCGGCAGGTTTATTTCAAGGGTTACGTAATTCGATATTTGGTATTTCCGGAGCGGAAACTTTGAGATGAGGAGGAGATGTGTGAGCAGGTAACATCTGGCTACTAATGATGCCTTAAATTACATCGTCAGGAACGTGCAAAAACCCAACCATATGTCACAGCAAGCAACGTCAGCCTCAGGTAGCGAGCTGATTTCAAGCGGATCCGCCAAAAACAACTTTGTTTCATAGCCAAATTGTAAACTAGCTGATATACAAGTGAAAGTGGGCAGCTGTCACTTTAAGATGCTACCTAACATTTGCCTGGTAAGAAATTATTCAGAATTATTAATATTATATTTGAGTTAAATAAATCTGTGTACAAGTTTATTATATAAAATATAATAATAATAATGATAATAAATTATTATATATATATATATATATATATATATA